CCGATTCCCCGATCCAGCAGCGTTTGCTGCTACAACACACTTTGGCTGGCGAGGGGCTGCAGCAGCAGCAGCATTTGCTGCTGCAGTTACAACAACGGCCTCCATGGGGAGACTGCAGGGGGGCCCCTAAAAGGAGACAACAAAACCCTTGCTGCTGCTGCTGCTGCTGCCGCTATGGTCACCGCAACATTTGCTGCTGCTGCTGCTGCAGCAGGAGCTGCTGCTACAGGTACAGCCACGGCAACAGCAGCTGCAGCAGCTGCAGCAGCAGCAGCAGCTGCAGCAGCTGCAGCAGCAGCAGCAGCAGCAGCAGCAGTTTCAAGGTATTTTATTTCTCCTGTATCGAGAACAGGGGCCCCCCAAGCACCAACTATATTATGTACTTGCATCTAGGGGCCCCTGGTCGGAGCCCCCGGGGGCCCCGGGGGGCCCCTGGTCGGTCACTGTGGGCCCCCTGGGGGGCCCCCCGGGTCCCCCAGGGGGCCCGATTGGGGTGTATGTACAGCTCGAGCTACTGCGGCAAGGGCCCCCAAGTGAAGCAGTTTTTATATGCTGCTGTTTTGCTGCTGCTACTGATTTGGGTTTTCTGCTGCTGCTGCTGCTGCTTCTGCTGCTGCTGCTGCTGCTGATGATGATGATGGTGACGCTGGGTTGCTGCGGGGGCTGGCAGGGGGGCCCCTCCCGACACCGCGCTGCTGCAGCTCTTGTATCTGCTGCCGCAGCAACTGCTGCTGCTGCTGCTGCTGGTGATGTTCTTGCTGCTGCTGCTGCTGGTTGCCTGCTGCTTGTGAGGCCGCTGCGTCCTCTTCTGGGGTTTCCTCCGCCTGCGCTGTATCTTGCTGCTGCTGCTGCTGCTGCTGCTGCTGCTGCTGCTGCTGCTGCGAGGCCTCAGCATCAGCCTGTGCAGCAGCAGCACTATCGTGTGCAGCAGCAGCAGCAGCATTTTCTGGAGCAGCAGCATCACCTGCAGCTCCTGCAGCAGCAGCAGCAGCGGCAGCAGCAGCAGTTGCAGCAGCAGCAGCAGCAGCACCTGCTGCAGCAGATGATCCAGGCTGCAGCCTTGGGCTTGCTGCTGTTTGTCTGTGCATAAGCGCAGACAAACGAGAGGTTGTTGAGGGGCCCCCCGAGGGGCCCCCCGAGGGGCCCCCCCCCAAAAAGGAATGCCAATTGAAGCTGGCGAGGGCAGCAGGTACCCCCTGGGGGCCCCCGGATTCTATATAACGAACATCTGCAGCACATATATATATATATATATATATATATA